CTGTAATGTAGTGTAACCTTTTTTCTTTATTTTCCCTATTTTTTGTACCTAAGATTTGTACCTAGGCACTTTGTACCTGGGATGGTACCGTGCGCTGGTGACATTGTTCCACTTTTCACTGTACTCCTGTTCTTTTGTAACTTGAGTACATGTACAATAAACCTAATTTTAAAAAATTCTATGTTCTAAAAAATTCTAAAGTCAACAGTGCAGGATGTGCCAGCAGCTTACGCAGTAAACATGTACGACGAAGTAAATGGTGATGTGTGGATATCAAAAGGATGGGTGTTGAGTAGAGTGAGGGTGGACTCTAATCAGTCAGGAGACCCCACCAAGTCATCAGCAGGCTGGTTCAATTCTACTCCAGGACTGTGACTGCAATCAATCAGGCGTTGTTCTTCAGTGAATCTGGGAATCTGCCCTTGCAGCTTACTTTAAATCTATGGCCTATTGTTCTTGTTCCTTTCATGAGCTGGATCAATTGTTCCCTATCTACTCTATCCAGCCCATTCATGATTTGAAAACCTCTATCAGATCTTCTCATAGCCTTCTAATCTCCAAGCAGAACAGTCCCAATATTTTCAATCTATCCTTATAACTGAACTCCTCATTCCTGGAACTGTTCTTGTGAACAGTTTCTGCATTCCCTGCAATGCATTCACATCCTTCCTATACTGACGTGCTTAAACCTGTACACAACACTCTTGTCGAGGTCAAATAGGTGTCTTATACAATTTCCACATCCTCTCCTTTCTCTTGTACTGTATGTCCCTATTAATAAAGCTGAGGATATTGTATGTCTGGGCAGGAGGAGGGACAGGGCTGTAAGTGGAAGACAGTACCCACATTAGATATTCAGAAAGCACTTTGTCTACCTCCACCAGAAACAGTATGAAAGGTGGCTATTTAATTGTACTATGTCCTCCAGCTGGATCTACAGAGCAGGATAAAGAGTGTCAAGTGGTTATTAATTCCTATATGAGCAGTTCCTTTCAGGCTGAAGCCAGGAACATTGCTGATATTTTTCAGCTGACTCTGCATCACTATTGCAGGTAGCAGAGAACATCATAGAATAGAGAGTTGGAGGAGATCAGGCAGTTGTCTATTTCATGGTGGTAGATTTCCAATGTGTCATCGGCATGAAACTCGTGGGTCTGTGACCAATGCAACTCAACATGGACAGGAACCAGGACATCAAAGGCGACCACACCTTTAATGTGCAGTTAGTATATGATCAGATGATGTTGCTGAATGTCTGTTATTCTTGCAACAGTTATGATGCTTTTGTCTTGTGTCAGGCAATTGACACCATATTGAAGCTATACATATGAAACAAGTTATTGAAAAATTGCTTTGAACTCTCATGTTAGCAAAATCTTGCTCAGGATCTTCCTGGAAAGAAGCTTCAAAAAGGTAGACAGCAAGATTGCTGACAAGTGAGCTGGATTTCGATGTGGAAGAGGAGATCAATCACTAATTTCTGAATCTGAAAGAGCAAGCCCAAGAACATCAGCAGCTAAAGTACAGGTGCTTTGGTGATTTTGGGTAGGCATTTGATTCTCAATCTCACGTAAGAAGCTCTTGTTGACAGTGGTATTCTCATGATACCTATCATATTGAACAGATTTGTTAGCCAAGCTTCACTATAAGCAGCAGAGAACAGAACTTAGCGGAGAAAAATTGTTCTGGAAGTGACTAACCCTTCGAACCAAGATGGCTGAAAGACAAGGCAGGATGAACCAATATATCACTGCTTGCTGGCAAGGATACTCTATATAAACATGGCATTTTACTTCCCTATTGACTACCTGTGAACAATAATCTGCTGGAGCACGGATTCCAGGGTATCAGTGACAGTCTACATGCTTTCTTGAGCTCTTGTACCAGGGTAGTCTCAGCCTGTGTGGCAACTAGCTAGGTATGCCTGATGCTCAAAAACGTGGAGAAGTGCTTCACTAGAAGGTGAGAAGACAGTTAACAGAGGCTGAATTGTATGAAGCTTGCACTGATGATCTTTTATTATACTCATCCCCTCAAAGTCCCATCTGAGTCCTCTGTAGCAGACCTTGTCTCTGAACCTGACTTCCCAGGAGGGAATATATACCATACCTTCATCTCGGGCTAGCTGCAGCTTGCTCATGTCAGCTTTTCACTGCACATCGATCCTGGTTCTATATTACTCTCTAAAGGATGTGCAATACTAGTCCCTGAGCTGATGGCTGTAAGCATCCAATGAATGCTTCCTCATAAGGTGCATAGAGTTGCATATGCTATTCACTGGGACTATAATGACTGGCCAGGCAGCAGTTATTGTATTTCTAAAAGTGAATATATGACAAGAGTGGCTTGGGGAAGAGAAAAGGAGGAAGGATTACATAGAAAGCAAGAGGTTCATGTTTATACGATGTCTAGCTTGTACTTTATACCACATAATATGATGAGGGTGAAGTGGGATTTGAGAAGATGCACCAGGCAGGAACATAGCATCATCCTTGATGATTTCAGCAATTCTGGTTGCAACAGTCTCAGTCACACAACACCAGGTTATAATCCAACTGATTTATTTGATATCACAAGCTTTCAGAGCGCTTGTCCTTCGCAGTCTCCTTCTTCACCTGATCAGGGAGAAGTGCTCCGAAAGCTTGTGATTTCAAATAAGCCTCTTGGACTATAATCTGGTGTTGTGTGACTTCTAACTTTGTCCATCCCAGTCCAACGCCAGCGCCTCCACATTGTGGTTCAAAGTCCCACTACACCATGTCCACCATGGGACTCCTTGAATGCAGGCTTGCCTTGTTACCTGATGGTTCTCTGTTGTTGTCTCACCTTATAATTGATTTAATTTGATTTGATTTTATTATTGTTACATGTACTGAGATACAGAAAAAAATTGTTTTGCTTACTATGCATGCAAATCACAATAATAAGAACATTAGGGTAATAGAACAGAATGCACAATATGATGTTTCAGCTACAGAGAAAAATCAACACTAATATTTGAGAGGTCCTTTCAAAAATCTGATAACAGCGGGGAAGAAGTTAGTCTTGAAACTGTTGGTGTGTGTTTTCAAATGTTTGAAACAAAAACTATCTCTTTCCTGTGCAAGCTTATCCTGCAAACAAGATGGAAGAACTCAGTGAATTTGCTGTAGTGTTTTTAAGCGATGTGCTTGAATATGTGGAAGCTGCAATATATGGGCATGGAACTGGCAGCATTACTGTGTGTGTGAGTAAAGTTTCAACATGAGATTGCTAGATACAAGTTATGATCGCTCGAGATAGCCAGTGGGTGTATGATGCATCATGTAATGATAATCATCTAATAATCAATTATTTATAAGGGATTGATTAATTTTTTGTGTTGATTTATTGAAAAGAACAAAAGACACTGTAAGTTATGAAGCAGACATTATTCAAACCAACTGATTTCTGAGCATGCAGCTTACAAAGCCATTGGCAGGCACAGTCATGACTTTGTATACGTGGAATCCTTAAAGGTAAACTCTCTTAAAGGCCCATACCACATGACGAACGTGTTGCATTGAATGGTGTGTAATCTAGTATAGTAATGGTTAGCAAATTATATTTGGTGAATGATTCATAACTTTGAGCACCCTTGTGATGTCACTGAACTTATTGCTGCACTACAAGAAGACCTTTGGTACCATATTTCTTAACTTGACCTTTATAACTACCTCCTCCGATTTCTTTCACAGTGTTGGCTTTGGAGGCTTCCTTGCCTCCTACAGAAAAATCTCCTTCACAATTGCTTCTGAGAGCCTGGGAATTCTTTCTTGGACTTCTTTTCCTCCTCAGAAACAGTAGGCGGAATTTTAATTTTGTGTAAGTGAAAAGCTTTTGAATGAATTCAATTTGAGTCCGGTATTCAAAACATTTCCACCACCCGCTGCATCCCAAGTGCACCTCATATTTACGAACTGCTGGCTGATTTTAAGAAATGTAGTCCAGCTTTAATTCATCAGAGCTACGTACGCATCTCGGTCCCCTGCAGAGTACATACCATGTCAAAAATGCAATTTGGGTCGGATCGCAATCTCCAATCATGGTGCTTGCTGCATTAGGGTGATCAGGTGTGGGATATTAGCATATTGCAATGCATGTAGCCAAGAACCAGCACTGTTTAATTTGAAGCACCTTAGCTTTAATATCATAAAAGGATGTAAGAACGCATTGATGTCAGAAGGAGAATGGGTTAATTCTGTACATTGTTGCCAGCTTATTTGACAAGGTATTGTGTAATCCTGACATAGTGACCAACATACTATTTTGTATGGCAGTTAAAACAAAAATACTTGCTTCAGCAATCAAAAAACTATGGGGACTAACCAGTCTGTGCTGTGTCCTAATATTTCAGCATCCGTAGAGATTCCAATTACACAAGATTGGGTGTGTTCTAAATAAATTTAAGAACTCAGACTCTTATGAGTTTTAATCTTTAGTGAAAAAACATAACTTTGGAACAAACAAACAAAGATAACTTCATACTTCCTGCAGTCCTTTATTCTGAAAACAAAATCATTTGTAATCATTTGTAATCATTGCTAACTTCCTAGAATGTAACTCTGTCCACTTAAGTATGTTGGTAGTTGCTTGTCAGTTTCTCTAACATATTTAAAATTGGCACAATTTCAATGACAAAAGACATACTGGGAAAACTTAGAAAACGAAAATTTTTTAACAATAACAAAATATTATTAGATTCCTCCTTTCAGTAATAAATAAGAGTTACTTCTACACTGCCATATTTCTTCCTCTATCAATGCACAATTATTTAGAACATTATCGTTCATGAACAAAAGGACCCATTATAAGCCTAGAAGCCAGTCATTTCATACATCAATCTCTGTTGTTAGGTTCACATCTGCAGACGTTTAGAATTAGTTGTAAACTATAAACATGATATTTTTGAAGATTCATATTTTTAATGGTGCAGCTAATAGGTAAGGTACAGTATACAACACAACTGATAAGAACCACGTGATCCCACAGCAGGGGAGTATTAACAAACTCGGGTGAAGGTGCACTTCACTGACTGGATGAATACTATAGAGCAGATGACAAACAGTGAGGAAAGTTTATTTATTCATTGCATGTAGAGTTGTTCAATTGTGTGGATCAGCATAGAAATTAGCACTGGAGTTCATTTAGACACGGGATTAATACAGCCTGAACGATAAAATGTCAATAAATAGGAAAAATTGGACTGCTCTCTCCAGGTAGGTAGCGATTAATATTTAACACTTTGACTACTTCCGTATTAGTGTATGCATTTACACTTGAATTCTACAGGATAATTGTTGTCAAAAATGCATAGCAAAAAAGCTTGTAGTCTGATGTATATGTAAATATGATGACAACTGATGCTGTATACTAAACTATCCTGCTTTTTAATATGTACAGACTGATGAAAGTTCACGTATATAGGATAACAAAGTAGAAACGATATATAAGGAAATCGCTTTCTGTCTAAACAAAAACATGAGGTGGCATAGCAAATCTGAAAAAAACTTTTCTGTAACTGTTCCAGTAGATTTGTCCTTCTACTAATCAACCACCTGAATAGACTGCAGACAGCTTGTTTAGTTGGCAAACTTTCACAACAGCAACTCTGTGTATGATTAGCCCAAACAGAACTTTTCTCCCCCTCTTAATTATTGCATATGGAGTAATGGATGCTTGACTGGCCATTACAGAGGTCTGAGTCCTGAATTTGTTTTGCAATGTTTATGTACAGACAAATGTGAAACCAACAGATAATCACACATATATACATTATGTATATTTGTAATTCAAATTCTAGAATTTAAAAAAATGATACATGTGTACATATACCACTTAAAATCCAATTATTATTTTTAAAGGGTGCTGTGCTTTCTTAATTTCAGGAGTTCGGAACGATGCTGCCTGCACTCATCTTCAGTAGAAACAATTCCTTTTGTAAATATATTTATAGTTGTGTTTGTTGTCATGTCCCATTGTTTGTTCACCCATTGACAGAGAGTAATGGTCATTTGATATTTTTTGAGCTGGAAGAGTATTTATTGTGGTGTTCCCCAGAGATTAGCATAGAATCCTTGCCTTTCCTGATTTATATTAGGGATCTAGACCTTTGTGTTCATGGGACAATTGCAAGTTTGCAAATAACACAAAACTTGAAAGAATTGCAAACTATGAGGAAGACAGTGGAGTACTCCAGATGGACATAAACCAGCTGTGGAGTGGCTGGATAGTTGGCAGATGAGTTTCAATGCAGACAAGTATAAGGTAGTGAATTTTGGGAGGAAGAACATGGAAAGACAGGGGATGGAAAATAGGGGCCACAATTCTAAGGAGAGGGCAGAAGCAGAAGGACCTGTGTGTCTATATATGCACAGACCACTGAAAGTAGCAGGACAAGTAGAGACAGCAGTTAGTAAAGTATACAGGATCCTCAGCTTTATTAATAGGGTCATTGAGTACAAGAGGAAAGAGACAATGTTGAAGTTGTATAAGATCCTTGTTAAATTTTAACAAGAGTATTGTGTGCAGTTCTAGTTGCCATATAGAAAGGATGTGAACATATTAGAGAGAGTGCAGAAAGACTTTACAAGAATGGTTCCAGGGATGATGACCTTCAGTTATGATGGTTAGATTGGGACTGTTTCCTTGGAGAAAAGGCAAAGAGGACATCTGATAGGTGTTTTCAAAATCGTTAGTGGGCTGGATAGAGTAGATAGGGAGAAACTGTTCCCACTTATTAAAGGAACAACAACAAAGGGGTATAGGTTTAAAATGATCCTCAAAAGGAGCAAATGTGAAGTAAGGAAATCGTTTTCAGTCAGCAAACAGTTCGGGTATGGAATGTGCTGGCCTGGAAAGATGTTGGAAGCAGACGGAATTGGGGCATACAAGCAGGCATTGGATGATAATTTGGATAAAAATTATGTGTAAGGGTATAGGAAATTGGCAGTACACAATAATGATCATTTTACATGGTATTGTACCATAAAATTTCTGTGATTATGTGACTTACCTGAATCTAGTAAAATTTAACTGGGATCTTATTTAAAACTACCATTCAGAGTTTAACGTAGTAGTCCTCATGTCATTTGCTTAACTATTTTCTAACTAATCACCCATGCTCAAAGAGTTACAGCAGTATCTAGCACACAACTTACAAGTAAGACAATATTGATGTATTGTCAGCACAGGTCTGTCTATTGTTGTTTCCATCAAAATCTGAGAGGATACTTTTCATGACTTGAAACTCACTGCCCCTACTAATAGAAAGAATTATATGAATAGGATTAATGAACAGTATTCAATTCTGACAAATGTAAGGGAAATATATGTTCCAAAAGAGACCCTCTCAGCTAGATTGAAATCCCATTTGTTTCGGGTATCCTGCTTAACTGGAAAGGCACCAATAAAAAATTTGACAACTTTAAACTGACTCAAATTAACAAAGCAAAAACAAATTGTAATTATTTTAACTACTTTAAGTTGGTCTGGGCTGATTGTGGGATCCACCTTTGTCTAATTGGATTGAATTCCAGGAAGTTTATCAAAGTCGAAAAGTTAAATAACAAAGTCAAATCAAAGGCAACCACTCAAAACTAAAGCTATGTGGTATCCAGGAGTCATAGAATGCTTTCGATGCACTGCGAGATGGTACCAAACTATCTATACGCAGAAGTTGTTAAGTGGAAGCTCATCTTTTCTAGCTGATGGAGCAGGATTTGTTATTTGTATGAAACAAACTTCAAGTCAAATTTGTGTTACTTTGTTGCTACACCATTGTGCTTTTATCTGATGACTAATTTTGTAAAATAGGTGTGTAGCAAATCCAGCAGAGAGCCGGCAAGTGACTTCATATTAGAACAATAAAAGGTTTATGCCAACACGGTTACTATAAAATATTGGTTAAAATGTGTTGTAAAAATGTATATGTATTGTTGCAGCCGTAGAAAATTACCCCAGTGAGTAAGATGTTCCTTAAAGAGCTCTTTGTGGATAAATGTAAGAGCTCTTCCCATTTCAGGAATTGAATAGGCAATTGTTGACGTGATAGCACTCACCCTTTGAACTATGAAGAGCCACTCCTTACATACAGGCAACTCGCTACATGTAACTAATCAGTATAATACACAATTATGAATAGAAATAAGTTGACATTTCTAAGAAACTTTTGAATACTTTCTGAATGCCCAAAGTTTCTCTCAGTTCGAATTTGAACATGCCTTCCACAACTCAGAATGGAAAGCATTTAAACAAGCATTAGAGCAGTAATAATGGATGGCATGGTGGCTCAGTGGTTAGCCCTGCTGCCTCACAGCGCCACGAGCCCGAGTTCAGTTCCAGCCTCAGGCAACTGCCTGTGTGGAGTTTGCGTGTTCTCCCAGTGTCTCCGTGGGTTCCCTCCGGGTGCTCCGGTTTCCTCCCACAGTCAAAAGATGTGCAGGTTAGGTGGATTGGCTGTGCTAAAATGCCTCATAGTATCTAGGGTGGAAAGTGAAGGGATAGGGCAGGGGGTGGATCTGAGTGGGATGCTCTTTGGAGGGTCAGTGTGGACCTGATGAGCCGAACGGCCTGCTTCCACGCTGTAGGGCTTATGATTCTAAAATGGGAAGGAAGACAATGGGCTGAGGAATGGAACAGGTCCCTCAACTGCCAGGAAAATGCCCTTGAAAAGAGTTTGGTATGGAGTCCATTGTTAAAGTGGAAGATTTCAAGGTTGTGGTGCTTGCTGTACATTTGGTGAGCCAAATAATTGAGGAGTTTGTGAGAGATCAGACAGCAGAGTCTCTCAGCATAATCTGTGTTGTAGGTTAAACTGAGTGGATTTGTGATCTGTAGCCCCTTTTGGGATCTTCTCTGCTTTCTTGCATTTCTGTAGAAATTTGATGTCTGCACCAATATGCGCGATTTCCTTGGAGATCCTCTCCACTTTGATCTGGCAATTCTTGGTGTTACTGGTGGCCATGGGTAAAAATGGAAGCACATTGCACGAGACTACACAAAAATGAATCAGCTGAACACGTAGCACCCCAGGGAGAAGCAGATTCCTAGGATCCCTAAAGAAACAGGCAGTGCATGACTGGCAGTGAGGTGAATACCTCGAGCAATATCATTTAGCCCACCATGAAATTGGATGGAGCTGGTGAACTCACTGATTTTTTTTTTGATCATTGAATACCGTCTCCAAGACAAAGATACTTTAACTTTGTTTTAGCAGATTAGTGTATATTTGTCAATGAATATATCTATGATATTGTCATCTGGATGACAATAGCTATTTCAGCCTTTTCTATAAATTATTATATTTGATGGAAAGCAGCAAAATAATTTACAGAAGATGGTAGTAGTGAATTCGGTAGCAATTTTAACCCTATCTCAACCGATTTCAGAAGGATTTATTTCCTATAGACAATAGTTTTGGACATTTGCTGCCCAGGTCTGCACTGTCTCAATTCGCTTATGGTTAAGATTCAAATAAAGAGACAGTGCACTTAAATAATTACTTCAGGCATTCATGACACTGCTACGGTACAGACGTACCCAAATCATCTCTTGATCTTAAATTTTCAAGACTATATAAAAAGAAAGATCTTGGCCATGAAATTCCATGTTATGTTTGGTGGTTGCACATCCTAAAATTCAGACTTTAAGTGGTGCGGCACAGGGGTCTTGCAATTCATGCTCGTCTTAACTTTAAATGGTGAAGAATGTGTTGCTAAAACGAAAGGAAAGGGAGGTTGACCAGCGTGTTAGTTTAAGGGAAAAAAAACAGTAAAACTTGGAAATGATGCACACTGGTCCAAATCATCTTGTATACCTGAAACTAGAACTCCAGCACAACTGGTTAATTACCCAGTTTTACTGAGATATTTTAAACTTCTTTTTTCCCCCTCTGTAAATTGCCTGTTTTATCAGGTTATTCATCTGCCAGTGGTACTGATCAGAAGATAAGGAATGAGAGAGTTAGTATTCAGTGCCAATGGCATCTTCCTCAACTTCTCATGACATATTTTGCCCATCCCTAATTGCCCTTGAGAATGTGGTGGCTGGTCACTGTAGTCTATCTGTTGTTAGGTCGCCCATAGTGCTGTTAGGAAGGGAACTCCAGGATTTTTATTCAACAATGGTGAAGGAGAGGCAATATAGTTGCAAGGCAGGATCATGTGTGGCCTGAGGAGGAACTTCCAGGCGGCGTTGTGCTGCCGTGTCCTTCGAGGTG